AATAGCAGCATGAATGGGTGAAACGGCTTTAGCGATTTCCTCTTTAATTTCTCCTCGTAGGTTTTCGTTTTCCTCTCGAATTACTTCTTTAACAATATCGCGGRATGTAAGCAGCATGGTCTGGTCTGTAGCCGCTTTGCTTGTAGCCTCCGGGTTGTTAGCTTGCGCTCCTTTAGCAGATGGTTCAGACGACATTTTGCTTCAAGACGAGGCAAAAGCACGTGAAATAACGTCGACGGCCAGTTGCAACTCAGAATATCCAAGAATTGAGCCGTTGTGGGTAATTTATAAACTATTTTAACAAAAATGTTGGGACCTCGTGGTTTGCATGTCTACTTCATAACGCACCCCTGGCGGTCTCATCCTGTTTTTATTGTTTTCATATGTTTAATAAATACACTGGCGTGATGAAACTTGGTACATGTTTGTTTGCTTTTTGAGATGAGCCTATTCTGGAGTTATGCACCCGCTGGAGAAAAATCCAACAGTTGCCACTGTTAAATCATCCTCACTCTGTAGTCCTCCGTCATGAACATTTCCTGCCTGTAGCCACTTTCATGACATTATCTCAGTTTCTAGTTTGACTCATGCTTGACAAGAGGAAATGGATTAAAACTTCACTTTGACATCATAAATAAGACCCTCAAGCTTGCTACAAAAAGTGAGTGGAGTGGCCCAGCTGTCTGAAAAACTCTGCTGAGACTCTGGAATTGTTGGGGGAGGGAAGGGATCTGGTGCCTTTGAGTCTGGGTTTGAAGTTTGCTGTTCAAAAAAGATTTCTCTTTTGCCTTTCCATGCACCAGTCCAAAAAAAAAACTGTGCTGGAATGGTATACTTCTAATCCAACCACAATCAAATTCACTATTGAGTGAATTTGACAGCTTTCACATTCAGGCTCACATAAAGTGAAAAAGCAAGAAAAAATGAGGCATTTCTGGTTCCTAATCAATAGAAATCACTTTCAGATTGAAAATAAACTGAATCTGTTTTTGTTCACATATCAGATATCATAAATGTTTGCAGTTTGTGCCTCTTCTTGCAGCAGCCTCCATGTCCCCCAGACCTGTATTTTCTGTAAGTGTAAGCACATGTGTAGCTAACAGCCCGTTAAGCTGATGTTGGCACCAGATGAAAGTGCTTCTATAGTCTGACATGCTTGTCTGAGGGGGCGGTTTGGGCTTAATTGCTGGTTTAGAATCAACTCTGTGGTCAACAGAAATTTCAGCACGACATTTAAAAAAACAGAACAAAGATGCTGAGAGGGAAATGATACTGGAAACCAAGCAGTAAGAAATCAGATTTGATAGATAATATGTTTCTTTTTAAAACAACACATCTCTAATTCATTTTGTTTCTCATTCATGACTAATTTATGTTTAAAGGCACAGCATTCCTTGAAGGATTGTCTGTTTATATTGCTAAGTTTAGGGATACATTTAATGGGACTCAGAACATCCCAATAAACTAACAGTGGGAGTTTGCCATCCAACATGAGGTGAACATTGATCATCAGATACATTTTGTATCTGACAAGGTTGGACTTACTTTTATAAAACTCTGTTTTTCCTAAATTTGTGAGATGCAAAATGCAAAGAGGGCATTGCATGAGAAGATTTTATTAACAAATAATAGACCTGACTGAAGATACTTTAAGAAACACAACCTTGTTTATTTAGCCACAACAGTGGCATAAGTGTATAAATCTAATTATTTCCAAAGTTTTGAACAAAAGAATGAGAATGGAGACAGAGCAAACAGAAAAAAAGACACAGATTTTCACAGTACCCCACTTTAAAGTACATCACCTGATGATAAAAACCATAAAATGGAGGGCGGATGGATGGGGCAACAAGACACGGGATGGAGGGCAAGAGACAAAAAACACCACAAAAAGACAAGACTCAGGAGAGAATGTGCAGATGGAAAAACAGTAGAGAACGGATGAACCAGGTCATAGAGAAACAGAAAGCAAAACAAAGAACCAAAACTGACAGGAGGAACCTGGGATATCAAAGTCTCAAGATGCATCTGGTGTTGGGTGAAAAATTGTAAGGTTGGCCCGTGAGCTGGCTGAGGCGGAGGTGAAGCTCGGCCTGGGGCCTGGCCAAAGCAGAGTAGAGGCTTGGGAGGGTGGCCCGGGGTACGGTCGAGGTGAAACAGGAACTCAGGAGGGTGGCCCTGGGTACGGCCGAGGTGAAACAGGAACTCAGGAGGGTGGCCCGGGGTACGGCCGAGGTGAAACAGGAACTCAGGAGGGTGGCCCGGGGTACGGCCGAGGTGAAACAGGAACTCAGGAGGGTGGCCCTGAGTACGGCCGAGGTGAAACAGGAACTCAGGAGGGTGGCCCTGGGACTGGCCAAGGTGAAGCAGGAACTCTGGAGAACGGCACGGGGACCGGCCAAGACAGTGCCGGAGTTCGGGAGGGAGGCCTTAGACCTGCCAGACCAGAATCAGGGTGGACTTGGGAGCAGGTGTAGACTCAGGAGACTTGAGAACAGGAACAGGTATGAACCAGGTACAGACGTGGAATCAGGAACCTCAGGAACAGACTTAGAGGCAGGAACAGGAATAGGTGTAGATGACTGGGAAACAGGTGAGGGTAAAGAACCAGATGATCAGGGAACAAGCTTAAGGGCTCGACACACGGGAGGTGACGTCACTCACTCTCCATTCATTTCCTATGGAAGTTGTGCGATGAAGCGACAATCGCTTGCCCTCCTCCAGCTAAGCGACTGGCGAAAATCGTGCATGTGAAATTTTGCGCTCGTACACGTAGACGTGCACACGTGAGCTTGCGACGCAACATATGAAAGTTGAAAAATGTTCAACTTTTGTCGCTGTCGCTTAGCGTACAACCAATTAGCGAGGGTTTCATTGACTGACCAATGAGAGGAGAGTATGCTACACAATGCAGTTAGCTAACACTTTCACCAAGTGATTACCAAAAAAGGCAGCTTTGTGGGAATTTGTTGGTGCCAGGGTGTAGTTATCCGGTAAGTTTTTCCTCATAAAATTGTATCTTGGTGTGTGTTTTGTGTTTGTCAAAGACCCCTGCAGAGCACCTGACCCAGACCGCTTAGGTGAGCAAGACTCTGTTGGCTTGGGTGAGCAGGACCCTGAAGGCTCAAGAGACCTGGGCCCTGAAGGCTCAGGAGATCTGGGCCCTGAAGACTCTGGAGAGCAGGATATGGGGCTAGCTGAGACCGGTCATGGAGAAGCTGCCACCTTCCTGTGACAGTGACGGCAGCAGTGAGATGAACCCACAGATGGAGTCTCCTTCTCAGGCAGCGAAGGAGGTGAGGGAGACTACACAGGTGGCAAAGTGGCCGGAGGAAGGAGGAAAGCTCTTAGCAACCTAGCCTGGTAAAAACCAGACCCTGTCCTTCACTTTGCTTCGTACAAGGGTCTGGACTTGATGCATAGAGGAGCGTTTCTTGCAGGAGGCGTGGCCTCTGTTGAAGTGTGTGCGTTGTCGCTGTGACGGAGGCTAAGCTAAGAAGCTAACCGGAAATTGCGTGTGCTGTAAACAACCCTACTGAGAGGAGAGAAATACCGAGCCTAACGAGACGACTGTAAATGAGAGCTGCTGCTTTGTCAGACAAATTTATTTTAATTTGGAAGCCTTATCAACACAGACTGGCTTCATTCACTTCCTCCACTGCTGTATGCTAAAATAACTGGCAGACAGAGCGCAGGGTTCAAAACTCTGCCTTCTGTTTGCTGATTGGCCCAGGTAAAATAAACTACAAGCAGACACTGCACAGAAAATTGACATTCTGTTCTCTGATTGGCCCGGCTAAAAATCTGCCAGCGAAATCCTTGTCTATGGGAGAAGTCCCAGACGGAGCAGAGAAGGGAAACTAGAATTGAGCGGAGCTGCATAGGAAGGCTAGGGCAGGCTATTAGCAACCTACAGTCCCATAGAACTTCGTCAAAGAGCTCCTTTCCTCGTCCGAAAGTTGGACGAGGTAAGGGAAAGGTTGGAAAGAGGATCAGGTCCACAAAATCATTTGTGGCAACAAACCTGATCCACAGGTTGACGGAGGGGTTGGCAGAGTCAGTTTAATCCCAGGTTAACCTCCGTCTCTCATTAGAGGAAAGATCCTCAAAGGAAAAACCTGCTGGGTCCTTGTTTGGTCCATCCATTCTGTTAAGGTTACAAGGCAAGTTTGGACCCAGAGTGCAGGCTGGCACAGGGAATCAAGAAAATGTCTTTATTAAAAGAAAAGGCAGACGTGGCAGCATAAATAACTGTGGCGCCCGCGAGGGGACATGGGGGATTATTTTCCTTTTGCGTTCCCACGCAATTCCTTTGCGTTCCCTCACAATAGTTTTGCATTCCCTCACAATATTGTTTTGCATTCCCATGCAAAAGTTTGATTTGTATATGAACTGAATTAAATCAGACTTTTATTTTGAAATATCCGGTTACCAAAACAGGATGTGTCGCCACAAGTTCATGAAATTGACATTGATGTTGCGTGGTTGCATTGTGTTAAAATATCTGTATATGACATACTTCCATGAGTGGCTGTGTGATATATTCATTCTGAAGCTGAATTAAAGCAGTAGGCTAACTCGCTAATGGTAAAGGTGAATTTGTTAATAAACCGACAGGCACAACAGTGATAAAAAACTTTTGCGAGGGAACGCAAAAGGTATTGCGAGGTAACGCAATACTATTGCGTGGGAACGTAAAAGAAAAATAATCTCCCGTGTTCCCTCGTGGGCTCCGTAAATAACAAAATACAAAACTAAGCAACACAGAGAAGAAACCAGGGAGAACCAAACAATGAATGGACAAGAAGGTGGTGGAAAAGAACCGATTAAATAGAGCTAGGACAAATGGAAAGTTGAAACAGCTGAATGATGACTAAGTGTTGACAGGTGTCAAGAAAAGACTGCGCTGACCGAGAAAAAGAATGAGAATGGAGACACAGGGAGTGAGAACCAGAGGGAGACAGAACACAAAACACAGATTTTCACAGAAATACATGAAATAAATGTCATACTGTATTGCATTTTTTGTTCAAATCCCAAGTTTGTACACAAATTATTTCTATACATTTCCATACAACAACACAACATAGACAATAAATAGACAAAATGTTTTCCATAAGGCACAGTCCTTCGTAGAGTTTTTTTCATAGTTGCTGTTCACCAAACAGAATCTGAGCGTACACAGTTCCATTACAGGATGCCTTTAACTCTGGAAGTGGCTTCATCAGATCCAGCTCTGCATACGTCAGGTTCTCCTCCACTATCTTTGGCTAAAGTTATGGTGAGGGAAAAATGAGAAGGGAGTCAGTGGTGAGACAGGGAAGCTGGATAAAGACAATTTATGAAAAACTAATGATGCATTTTATAAAGCTGGAGATTATGTTGAGTTATTGTTGCTAAAAATGGTAAAGTTTTAAACGTTTACAGGCTGTGTACCTAATAAGTTCTCAGTTCTGAAATCTCTTGAAATATTCTTAAATTACAGAATAATCACATTTTAATAATTTTTTTTACAGCCTTTCTTTTAAATCAAATGTTTCCTTTAGTTTTCTTTGCTGTGACAGTAAATGTACTGGGTGAGCCATTTATATGGATACACCTAAATAAAATGGGAATGGTTGGTGATGTTAAATTCCTGTTTGTGGCACATTAGTATTTATGAGGGGAGAAACTTTTCAAGATGGGTGGTGACCATGGCAGCCATTTTGAAGTCGGCCATTTTGGATCCAACTTTTTTTTTCAGTGCACAAGAAAAACAATGGTATGCTTGGTTTTTAACGTAACTTTATTCTTTCATGAGTTATTTACAAGTTTTTGATCAGTCATAAAATGTGTTCAAAGTGCTGCCCAATGTGTTGGATTGTCAACGCAACCCTCTTCTTCTACCACAGAAGAAATCCATTGTTTCAGGTGCTGCACATCTCATATTTTCACAGCATAGACAACTGCCTTCAGGTGACCCCAAAGATAAAAGTCTAAGGGGGTCAGATCGGGAGACCTTGAGGGCCATTCAAATGGCCCACAACAACCAATCCACTTTCCAGGAAACTGTTCATCTAGGAATGCTCGAACCTGACACCACTAATGTGGTGGTGCACCATTTAGCTGGAAAAATGCAGGGAATGTGCCATCTTCAGTGCATAAAGGGGGAAATACATCATCATGTAGCAATTTCACATAACCAGTGGACTTGAGGTTCCCATTGATGAAGAATGGCCCCACTATCTTTGTACCCCCAGGAGTTCTTAATCTTTTTGACCTCGGGGCCCAATTTGTTGAACATAAAGTGACACGAGGCCCAGTCAGACATAACTAATGTATGGATCAAAATGATAATTATTATAAATCTTGGTTTAAT